ACACCGTGGGATAGTGGGACAGGTAAGTGGCTGTTTTTTAAAAGTCAGCAGCTACAGTTTTTGTAGCTGCTGACTTTTATTTTTTTCACAGTGCGACTGGAACTCCGCTTTAATGAATAAAATCCACCTTTCTGTCTATAACGGTTGCTCTTTTCCTGAACTATCTTTTCATATTTCACCAACACATCAGCTGGCTGCAACAAAAATATTTTTGAGCAGGTGACAGGGCAGGTAAACGTACATATTAACCACATGCCACCCAGCCACTGTAGAAATACGGCGGCAGGGCGGCACGGCTGGGCAAAACCACGTTTTAAAACGTGTGTTTTTAAAACAGGTAGGGGGCGCACCGCCGTCCTACCTGTTCCGCCGATCACGGCCGCAGATGTCAGTCGCCGGGTCACAGCCGGTTGTTACCGGCTATGTCCCGGCGATTAGCGGCAATCGGTGACAGAGAGCACATCTGCAGTAGCTGTGCTTTCTGTCAGTTCCCTGACAGCTCCTGACACGCTGATCGGGACAGAAGAGTTTATCTGTCCCGATCAGCGGTGTTGCTGTAGTACACACCCCCGCCCCCTAGTAAAACACTCCCCTCACACAGTTAACCCTTTCACTGAATAATAAAGTTAACCCCTTCCTCCCCAGTGCCATTAGTACAGTGTCAGTGTTTTTTTTTTTTTTTGCAATGATCACTGTATTGGTGTCACTAGGGATGTCAGTGACCCCAAGTCAGTTCCCCCCCAGTGTCAGAATGTCCGCCGCAGTCCCGCCACAAGTCACTGATCACCGCCATTATTAGTATAAAAAAAATAAAAAATCCCAGTATCTTTCCCGCCATTTGTAAACGCTGTAACTTTCACGTAAACCAATTAATTTACACGTATTGTGGTTTTTTTTTTTTTAGCAAAGACATGTCGCAGAATGCATTTTGGCAGAAATTTATGAGTAAATTTGATTTTTAAATTTTTTTTTACTGGACATGTTTTATAGCAAAAAGTCCAAAATATTGTTTTTTTTCCTCAAAATTGTCAAGCTTTTTTTTTTATAGCGCAAAAAATAAAAAACCGCACAGGCAATCAAATACCACCAAAAGAAAGCTCAATTTCTGGGAAAAAAAAAGGATGTAAATTTATTTATGTATCGTATTGCATGACCGTGCAATTGTCCATTTAACTAGCGCAGCGCTGTACAGCAGAAAAATGGTGTAAATTGCAGTATCTATACCATAGTTTGTAGACGCTATAACTTCCACACAAAGCAATCAATATACACTTATTGGGATTTTTTTTACCAAAAACATGGAGCAGAATACATTTTGGCCTAAATTTATAACTAACTTTGAGTTTACTATATATTTTTTATAGCTGAAAGTGAAAAATATTGTTTTTCTTCAAAATATTTGGCTTTTTTTGTTTATAGCGTGAAAAATAAAAGCGCACAGGTGATCAAATACCACCGAAAGAAAGCTCTATTTGTGTGAAAAAAAGGACGTAAATTTTGTTTGGAAGCAGCATTGCATGACCGCGCAATTATCAGTTGAATTAGTGCAGCGCCAAGTAGCAAAAAGAGGCCTGGTCATTAACCTCCTTGGCGGTATTCCCGAGTGTAGCTCGGGGTAACATTTCGGTACCAAAAACAGTAACCCCGAGCTACACTCGGGAATACCATGCGGCGCTGCTCCGGCATTTGTTCTTCACTTACTTACCCTGCGCTCCCGCGATGTGTCCCCTGCAGCGTTCCCGGCCATCTCCTTCGGCCGATGCCGGCATCCGGCTTCTGTGTCCTGTCCCTGTGACGTCGGGACGTACGGGCGCCGCCGGCGGCGGGAAATTTAAAAAATTTTAAATAATGTCATTTTTTTTTTTTTTTACATTTTACATAGTAAAACATTGCTGTCTCAACCAATTTCACATACATTTTGTCCCTAGTGCTTAGTCCTGTGCCCCGCCTGCATTTTGTCTGTTCTTTCTGCTTGGAAACTGAGAAACGTCCATGGCGTCCAAAAAGCGTCCCTTTAGGTCAAAAGCGGTTTTAGACCGGCTAGAGAACAGCGATAGTAAATCAGAACCACTTGCAGAATTGAGTGATAATAATTCGTGGGGGAAATTCGTCATCAGACACTGAAAACGATTTTGCAACTTTGCTCAGTGATGTGCGAACTTGGCGCTATATTTCAAATTTCAGTGTTTTTGGTTTGATTATATTATTGAATGAAATGTATTATTATTATATTATTATTTTTTTTATGATTATTTATTAAATTATAATTTATGATTTTGTGTTTCAAATTTTATCATACCCGGGATGTTTAATAGACTCTTGTTCGGACAGATTTTAGTGAGTTATTCCTAAATATTACAGCCTACAATAAAAAAACTACATATTTCCATGCAAAATAATGGTACCGCTTTCAGCACCAAAAATCTGAAATAATCATACCGCCAGGGAGGTTAAGGGGGGTAAATCCTCAGGAGGTCAAGTGGTTAATGAATGGCAAGGCTGTTCGGCATGCTCTGCAATTACCACGATTTGTGGACTGTGTGCAGCTATGTGAAGTCTGGAAAGTATACAGGAAAAATATTACATTATTTAAATTTAATTCAGTTGGAACGTCTGTTCAGCTAAATGTTTTATGCCGCATCCCTGACATTTATATTACACTCTCCAGCAAGAATACAATAATCTGATTTTGTTATGAAGGTTAAAAAGACTTGTATATTGAATTTTCCATTCCAAGAATTATAACCAGACAAGCTGCGACATGTGAGTATTGCAGGTCTAATATTTGTATTAGCAACTCAGCAAGCAATAAGACAGATAAGTCAATTAAAGAGGACCTGTCTATTCTTATAAGAGAGAAATAGCGTGGCTGGGGTGCCAATAAACAATTCTTCAAAAATTGGACATGAACCTTGTTTTTTCAGAGCAGCACATCAGGTGGTTCCCATCAACATGTTGTACTGTCCTTGAGATTGGTTTACACTGTTGGGACCCAAAGTCATGTGACTTCCAGTGCGACTTGCTTTTAACTTGATTCAATCCAACTTTCATGCAACTTTCTTGTTTTTTGGTCAATCATAGCAATACAGAGTGTAACACGTATTATTGAACTTATAAAAGTCTTTGAAGTTGCAGCCAAAATCATAAAGAAAAGGCAAAGAAATGACTTCCTTCCTTTTGTGACTTTAACATTGCAGTCTATAGCATTCATGTCGCAAGGAAGATGCAGAAAAGTACTTCAGGAAAAGCCCAAAGAGCAGACCATCTGGGAGGGGTGTTGAGGGTAGTGCAGGAAGGCCTAGACAGTTGGTGGTAATAGGGACTTCTATAATCAGAAGGACTGATATGATAATAATTTGTCGCCAGGATCACCTCAACCGAGTGGTTTACTGTCTCCCTGGTGCCAGGGTTCGGCATGTGGTGGAACCAGGTTGATAAATTACTGGGAGGGACTGGGCATGATCCAGCTGTCTTGGTTCATGTTGGAACCAGTTACAGAATACATGGAAGTTGCAGGCTTCTTAAGAATCGATTTAAAGAACTAGGCTGCAAGTTGAAGGGAAGGACCTCCAAGGTGATATTCTATGAAATATTACCTGTGCCATGTGCAACTCAAGAAAGACAGGGGGAGATTAGAGAACTAAAAGCATGGCTAAAGACCTGGTGTAAGAGGGAAGGATTTGGGTTTCTAGAGCATTGGGCTGACGTTTCATTGATATGCAGCCTATATGCTAGAGATGGCTTGCACCTAAATGGAAGGGGGTCTGCTGTGCTGAGGGAGAGGTTTAATGGGATGGCTGGAGTATTTAAACTAGGATCGAGGGGAGAGGGAGAATTAGATTATAATGGGCCAGACAGATTAGACAGGGGTCAGTCCTTTTTGGTGAATGGAATGGGTAAAGGTGGGGAGAGGGCTATGGCAAGTGTTACAAACAACCATTAGAATTGGTACCATTTGTATGAAAATAAAAAATATGCAAAATATGTGTGAACAAGGTGTCAATGAGTTAAAAAGTTTGTTCACAAATGCCAGAAGGCTGCCAAGCAAAATAGGTGAGTTGGAAGCTTTGGTGCATGAAGAGAACTATGATTCAATTGGTATTGCTGAATCATGGCTTCATTCTTCACATGACTGGGCCAATAATATTCCTGGCTATGTTCTCTTTCGGAGAGACAGGGTAAAAAGGAAAGGTGGTGGTGTCTGTCTCTATGTGAGAAGTGATCTCAGAGCGAGTGTGAAAGAGGACCTAGTTGATAGAGTGTGATGAGGCTGAAGCATTATGGGTGGAACTGCACATGGGGGTGCGTACTAGAAAGGTAATCATTGGAATTTGTTATAGGCCTCCCATGTTAATGAGGAGGTGGAGACTCAGCTCCTTGTAGCGATCGATAGGGCTGCAAGGGCTGGGACAGTGATAGTAATGGGGGATTTTAACTACCGGAAATTGACTGTAGTAATGGCACTACAGGAACAGTTAAAGGGCAAAAATTTATAAACCTACTACAGGACAATTTTATGATAAAGTTCATAGAGGCCCCGACTAGGAATGATGCTCTGCTGGACCTGGTAATCTCAAACCATGCAGAGATTATTACTAATATCCACATAAAAGAACATTTGGTTAGCAGTGACCATAACATGATTTCATTTCTAGTTAGCTGTAAACAACAAGCACATACGGGGAAAATAAAACTGCTCAACTTTAAGAGAGCAAATTTTTCAAGCCTGAGAGCTGCTCTCCAAGACTTGGACTAGGAGGGAATATTGGCATCGATGAACACAACACAGAAATGGGAGTTCTACAAAAAGACTGCATGTGAACACACTGCAAAATATATTCCCATGGACAACAAGTTTAACCGCCTCCTGCCTGCCATATAGTACAATGACGGGCGCAAGGCGGTTCTCGCATTCTGGGAGGACGTCATATGACATCCTCCCATTCTAACCGCGCATGTGCGGCTTCGGGAGCAAGCAGTGCGGCGATCGGTGGTGCGCTGTGTCCCTTGGACACAGCAGATCACCGATCAACGGAAAGAGCCGAAGATGTTGGCTCAGTCATGTGATCAGCTGTGTCCAATCACAGCTGATCACATATAAACAGGAAAATGCCGGTTATCGGCATTTCTCTCCTCACGAGCTGTCACGCTGACATCTCGTGAGGAGAGCCGGTAATCGGCTTTCCTCGGAGGGGACATGTACACAGATCATCAGAGCACTCAGAGCCCTGATGATCTGTGTAGCCCCAGCAGTGCCACCTGTCAGTGTTCATCAGTGCCAGCTGTCAGTGCTCATCCATGCCACCTGCCAGTGCCCATCAGTACCACATCAGTGCCACATTTCAGTGCCCATCAATGCCACATCAATGCCACATATTAGTGCCCATCTGAGCTGCCTTTCAGAGTCACCCATCAGTGCCAGTCAGTGCCACCTATCAGTGCTGCCCATCAGTGCCACCATCAGTGCCGCCTATCAGTGCCAGTCAGTGTCAGTGCCAGTCAGTGCCGCCTATCGGTGTACATCAGTGCTGCCTAGCAGTGCCACCTAACAGTGCAGTGCCGCCTATCAGTGCCATATATGATTGCTGCCTTTCAGTTCCCATCAGTGATGCCTGTTAATATCCATCAGTGCCACCTACCAGTGCCTCCTCATCAGTGCCCATCAGTGCATCCTATCAGTGCCCATCACTACAGCCTCATTAGCGCACATTAGTGAAGGAGAAAAATCACTTATTTACAATATTTTATAACAAAAACTAAGAAAAAAACGTTTTGGTTTTTTTTCAAAATTTTCAGTGGTTTTTGGTTTGTTTAAGAAAAAATAAAAAAACCCAGAGGTGATTAAATACCACCAAAATATGTCACAAAAAATTATAAAAATCTCATATGGGTACAGTGTTGCATGACCGCGTAATTGTCATTCAAAGTGTGACAGCGCTGAAAGCTGAAAACTGACCTGGGCAGGAAAGGTGTATAAGTGCCATGTAGGCTAGTGGTTAAAAGGCTAAAAATCGTAATCAAAATAATAAGAAAAGAGCTTTTATTCAACATAAAAATGAAGGAGCGCTATCATCATTTAAACATTACAAAGAATATAACAGAATATACAAAAAGCAAATCAAGGCCGGAAAAATTGAAAACGAACGACAGATTGCAAAAGATAGGACAAACCCCCCAACAATTCTTCAAATATATTAATAGTAAAAAGGTCTGATCCGAGCATGTAGGCCCTTTACAGAATCATCTAGAGTGGGTGACTGGGGACAAAGAGAAGGCAAATTTATTAAATGAGTTCTTCTGATCTGTGTATACAAAGGAGCATGGGGGAGCTCTTGTCCATAATGGGCATGGTATTGACACAGCTCCAGATGATTCACACTTGCTCACTACTGATATGGTCTGGAAATATTTAGACAGAATAAAGGTGAATAAAGCACCTGGACTGGAGGGCATACACCCACGAATCCCTAAAGTATTGAGCTCTGTCATTTCAAAGCCGTTTTTTTCTAATTTTTAGGGACTCTTTAATGACTGGCATAGTACCACTGGATTGATGTAAGGCCAATGTGGTGCCAATATTTAAAAAGGGGTCAAAATCTTTACCAAGTAACTACAGACCTGTTAGTTTAACTTCTATAGTTGGGAAGATACTGGAGAGTTTAATAAAAGACCACATAGATGAGTTCTTGCTGGAAAAAAATATTTTAAGCAACAGACAGCATGGATTCATGGAAGACAGAAGTTGTCAAACAAATCTGATTTCTTTTTATGAAGAGGTGAGCAAAACCTTGGACAGAGGGGTGGCGGTGGACGTGGTATACTTGGACAGAGGGGTGGCGGTGGTATACTTGGACAGGGGGGCGGCGGTGGATGTGGTATACTTGGACAGAGGGGTGGCGGAGGACGTGGTATACTTGGACAGAGGGGTGGCGGAGGACGTGGTATACTTGGACAGAGGGGTGGCGGAGGACGTGGTATACTTGGACAGAGGGGTGGCGGTGGACGTGGTATACTTGGACAGAGGGGTGGCGGTGGACGTGGTATACTTGGACAGAGGGGTGGCGGTGGACGTGGTATACTTGGACAGAGGGGTGGCGGTGGACGTGGTATACTTGGACAGAGGGTGGAGGTGCACGTGGTATACTTGGACAGAGGGGGTGGCGGTGGACGTGGTATAATTGGACAGAGGGGGTGGCGGTGGACGTGGTTTACTTGGACAGAGAGGTGGCGGTGGACGTGGTATACTTGGATTTTGCAAAAGCATTTGACACAGTTCCCCACACACGGCTAATGTGTAAGGTAAAGTCTACAGGCTTGGAAAAATCTGTATGTAAATGGATAGAAAACTGACTAAAAGATGGTATTCAGAGAGTAGTGGTAATGATTCATACTCTGAATGGTCTAGGGGTGTCAGTGGTGTACCCCAAGGTTCAGTGTTGGGACACTTACTTTTAATATATTTATAAACTATATAGGGTTTGTGATAAAACATTTCAGTCTTTACAGATGACACCAAGCTGTGCCATGGAATAACGTCCTTACAGGATGTCTTCAACTTACAAGCCGACCTCAATGCTCTGTGTAATTTGGCAACTATGTGACAAATGAGGTTTAATGTTGGTAAATGTAAGGTTCTGCACTTGGGGGCTAAGAATATGCATGCATCATACATACTAGGGGGGGGGTACAATTGGGGGAATCAATGGTGGAGAAGGATCTGGGAGGATTTGGGAGTATCACAAGCTTAATAATGGCATGCAATGCCAAACTGAGGTTTCTAAAGCAAGCAAAATCCTCAAAGACCTCATCTGGAATATGCGGTTCAGTTTTGGGCACCAATTCACAAAAAGAACATTGGGGAACTGGAGAAAGTACAGAGAAGGGCAACCAAACTGATAAGAGGCATGGAGGAGATCAGCTATGAGGAAAGATTAGAGGAACAATTTAGAGGAACTAAATTTATTATCTCTTGAGAGAATAAACATGTATAATACATAAGGGGGATATGATCTCCATGTATAATACATAAGGGGGATATGATCTCCATGTATAATACATAAGGGGGGGATATGATCACCATGTATAATACATAAGGGGGGGATATGATCTCCATGTATAATACATAATATGGGGGGATATGATCACCATGTATAATACATAAGGGGGGGATATGATCACCATGTATAATACATAAGGGGGATATGATCTCCATGTATAATACATAAGGGGGGATATGATCTCCATGTATAATACATAAGGGGGGATATGATCACCATGTATAATACATAAGGGGGGGGATATGATCACCATGTATAATACATAAGGGGGGATATGATCTCCATGTATAATACATAAGGGGGGATATGATCTCCATGTATAATACATAAGGGGGGATATGATCACCATGTATAATACATAAGGGGGGATATGATCACCATGTATAATACATAAGGGGGGATATGATCTCCATGTATAATACATAAGGGGGATATGATCACCATGTATAATACATAAGGGGGGATGATGATCATAAGAATGTATAATACATAAGGGGGGATATGATCACCATGTATAATACATAAGGGGGGATATGATCTCCATGTATAATACATAAGGGGGGATATGATCACCCTGTATAATACATAAGGGGGATATGATCTCCATGTATAATACATAAGGGGGGATATGATCTCCATGTATAAATACATCAGTGGTTCATATAGTGAACTCGGTGTAGATCTATTCACCCTGAGGTCATCACAGAGGACAAGGGGGCACTCTTTACATCTGGAGGAAAAGAGATTTAATCTCCAAATATGGAAAGGTTTCTTCGCAGTGAGATCTGTGAAAATTTGGAATAGATTCCCTAAAGAGTTGGTTCTGGCCAGCTCAGTGGATTGCTTTCAAAAAGCAATCTCGGTGGGGATCAGGAAGGAATGTTTTCCCCTGCAGGAGCAAATTGGATCATGCTTTGCTGGGTTTTTTAGCCTTCCTCTGGATCAACTGTGGGTATAGGATTATAACTTGTATTTCTATGGTTGAACTGGGTGGACTTTTGTCTTTTTTCAGCCAGACTAAATATGGAACTATGTAATTAAAATGGCACCCATTGGAATTAATGTGTTTTGACTTGTCATGCAGCTTTCTGTATCACATGTCACAACAAGGCGTAGCAGTGTGAACCAGAGCTTAGCCTGCATCTTCCCTTCAACGTGAGTGCCATAGACTGTGATGTTAAAAACACAAAAGTCTCAAGTCGTTTCCTTGCAACTTTGGCTGCGACTTCAATGCACATTGAAGTTACATCAAGTCGCACTGTAAGTCTCTCAACTTTGGGGTTGCAGCAGTGTGAACTTTGGAAAAGTCCATAAAAACTTGTGGTCAAAAGCGGTTTTCAGACCAGCGTGTGTTGGGTTTCCATAAATCAGAACCACTTGCAGAATTGAGTGATAATGATTCGTGGGGGAAATTCGTCATCAGACACTGAAAACGATTTTGTGACTTTGCTCAGTGATGTGCGAATTTGCCTCTGTATTTCAAACATGTTTTTGCATTACATTGAATTAAAATTAGATTATATTATTTTTTATGATTATTTATTAAATTATAATTTATGATTTCGTGTCTATTAAATTTTATCATACCCGGATGTTTACTAGACTCTTGTTCGGACAGTTTCGCAGTGTTATTCCTAAAATTACAGCCTACAATAAAAATACATATTTCCATGCACAAAAGGAATAGGACCGCTTTCAGCACAAAAAATTGGAAAGAATCATAACAGGAGGTTAAAAAAAGGCGGTATAGTTTGTGGTTTGTTTGTACTGTTAAAATTTAGGAACCCTTCCCTTTTCTCATGTCTAGAAAGAAAAGTGGAGAATCACCAACAAAGCTTTTAATAAAATGTGAATTGAAATAGGGACATTTTTTGTACCTTTTTTGCTGCCAAAACAACCTTGAACTACTGAGACATGGATTCCACTACACAAAACATCACGCTGCCGGCTTCCTTCTTCCCATACTGCATCCTGGTACCAGATCTTCCCAAGGTAGGCAATACACACGTACCGGGCATCCACATGATGTAACAGAAAATATGATCCATCAGACCAGGCCACCTTCTTCCATTGCTCCATGGTCCAGTTCTAATGCTCACATACCCATTTTGTAGGTGCTTTTGGATGTGGACATGAGTCGGCATAGGCACCCTGACCGGTCTTTGGCTACACAGCTCCATAAAACAAAAAGCGATCTACTGTGTGTTCTGACATCTTTCTATTGGAACCAACATTTACAGCAATTTAACCACTTGCCTACTAGGCACTTTTACCCCCTTCCTGCCCAGGGCACTGATGAGGCGGCACTGATGAGGCGGCACTGATAGGCAGCACTGATGGGCTCTGATAGGCTGCACTGATGAGGCAGATTTTGTGACTGGTGGGCACTGAAGATGCTGCACTGATATGTGGCACTGATAGGCAGCACTGAAGTGCACTAATTAGGTAGCACTGATGGGCACTAACTGGTGGCACTGACTGGCAGAACTGATAGGCAGCTCTGACTGGTGGCACTGTTTGGTCACAGATTGGCAGCACTGTTGGGCACTGATGAGCTAGACTGTTGAGCACTGCGGGCAGCACTGCTGGGCACTAAAAGGCATTCACTAATGGGCAGCACTGTTCAGGCTTCAATTGATAACACATATTCAACAAAAATATTTTTGCCAGTTTTCAGAAACAAAAGGATCCATTTCTTAATGAATTTACATTCTGAGGTTCAAAATAACAATGGGTAATTTGTGGCTTAGTTTTTCTGTTAAAATTTAAAGTTTTCTACTATAGGCGTAATGACTACATAATGCACAATAATTATATAGATAGATGTCTTTCCACAAATATAAAGCAAGTGATATTGACTACATAACAAAGCCTAAATGGCATAATATATTGCATAGGATTACCAAGAAAATTTATAGCCATAAGCTACGTTGAATCATTTTAATACTTAGGATTCTCACTAGTTTTGTCTTCAGTTTGTGTCGGTTTTGCTTCTCTTGGCTTTTCTCTTGTATTCGAGGAAAGGGCTATTCTTACAATGTGCACGTGACTACACGCTTCAGGTTCTTCCTCACTTGCTCAACCAAAGGATTCTGGTGAACTTTGGAATTGGTAGCCCCTCTCCATGAGGAAAACATTGCCGATGGAATATTTGGATAGTGCACGGATAACTTTTTCTTCTTATTTACTGCATCCTTTTACAATTGGAGGCCCATAAAAAAGTAACAATTACTACACGTATCTGTTGGCTCTCTCCACATCATGTAACAGCGAAATGATCCATAGATGCCTTTTTTCCATTCAACCATTGTCCAGTTCTAATGCTCACAATAATTGCAGGTGCTTTTATGTGGACATGAGTCGGCATAGGCACCCTGACCGGTGCCACAGCTCCATAAAACTCTCTACTGTGTGTTCTGACATCTCCTGACGACAGCATTTCTATTGCGATCTACTGTGTGTTCTGAAATCTTTCCTATTATGGAACCAACATTTACAGTTTAACTCACTATCTTACTAGCACTTTTACCCCTTCCTGCCCAAAATACAAGATGTAGGCGGCACTGATCATTCAGCACTGTTATGGGCTCTGATTTGTGCATAAAAGTTATTTCACCAGCACTGATGGGCAGAAATTATCTGCTTTATTCACACAAGTTCGATATTACTGAGTAGCACTATATAGGCATAAAACAAATGTAAAGACGCTGTCGAACTACAATCAGCTACAGATACTGCAGCTTTTATGCAGTGGTGATGCAATCAAAGGCTAATATTGCATCTGTACATGCAAACTTCTATTGGCAGCCTGTATCAATTGCGCAATATGCAGCTGAAGTTGCATCATAATTTTGAATGGCACGTCATTAGATGGGTGAATGATATCATGGAAACTAGAGCAATCAACATGCTTTAGGGTCATTTTCATTTTGGGCACCCCAAAATTATGTAAGATTAGCTACTATGCCCAAAACTGTTTACCTGCTTGAACAGTGTAATCAGGGCACTGATAATCAGTGCCCTGATTATCAGTGCAGATGTCTGCTTTGAAGGTTGCTGGTTACCGGCAGTACCTTCCTTGCGCTGTTACAGTGAGGTCATCTGAAAACAGCTGATCATATGGCAAAAGGCCGCTGTGATTGGCCTTTTAACATGTCATGTG